TCTGAGAACCGACCTTCCTACTGATCCAGGCACGCATCAGGGCTCCGGCCATGTAGCCAAACCTCCTGGCCATGATGAAGGCTGCCCCCTCCTTGACCCCTGTGGAGGTGATGATCTGAAGGTCAAGGACGGTGGGGCCAATCTGGCCGTCAGAGATGCCCTGGTCAAGGATGGAGGTCAAAGGTTATTCAGTTACTTTTTGAATGAATACTGTGATGATTTTAACAAAATGTTATATAAATATGGTTAATACACTGATGTTCATGAAATATTGAATTAACCCCAACTCTGAAGGGATGAGCATTCGTCATTGTTTAGATAAATTAAAGCTCCATTCAACATGGTGAGGTTATTTATGATGCGGGGTCTCCGAGTGTAATAATGATACTGATTTTAAGATACAAAGGTTCTTAGCGCTTTACAATACAGTAACATAAAAGGCTGTGTTCTGACCAAAAGAAAATCTCTCCTTTTAGTAGAGGTTTTACGGCGCTCGCAACTGTTATTAAAGTCATATCATGAGCGCCAAGGAGTGAATGTCAACAGAGAAGTCTTTACAGAGAATCCGGCTTACTCTGCTCACCTCTTTAGCTTCAACAGCACAAAGTCTGCTTCGACTATCAAGGCATCCCGGACATAGCGAGTCACAAAAGAGTGACAAACATACAAAACAGTAGAGGAAAATGATGATAGGAAGGATGGGGAAAGAAAAATCATCAGTTTGCAGTTCCAATCCCTGCAAAATTATGTGCACGACATTGATGAATCAGCCATTTACAATTCTACTGTGCAACAGAACATTGTAATGTCCCCTCTTTGGGAATGGCCTGAAGACACTTCCGTGAATAGCACCGCTCCGGGGGGTAAAATCTCTCCTAATATTCATATTATTAATTTAAAAATATAAATGACTTCTGCTGACATTTGAATGAATCAAAGGATTTGATCTCTCTTAAAGGACTTAGCAAAGCATTCCTGATCTTGGGGCCTTGATATTCAAATGCCTTCTCACCCACTGTTTAAAGTTTCAAAGATCGTAAAATACTTTCCTTTTTGTCAGCTGGCGACCTTAAACTGCGAGTTGGAATGTACAGCCTCAACAGATTTGACTAATATGATAACGTATTATCATTCAGGCATTTGTGACATAGAGTGGCCAACTTGAACACAATTCTTTTCTCTACAGGAAGCCAATGGAATGTCCGTAAAAGAGGCGAAGATGAGTCTCGCTTTCATTTGCCCAAAATTAAACGTGCAGCATTGTTTTGGACGGTTTGAAGTCTTTTAACTTTCTCCAGTGATATTCCTGATAACAAGGAGTTACAATAATCCAGTCTTGATAAAACCAAGAGAGTTACTAGTAAAGCAGTATACTTAATATTGATTGGATGACGTATTTAACAATTTTTCTTATTTCTAAATACATGCAGCTGATCAGATGATTTACCTCCGCCGGCATTGACAAACTGGAATCAAATAGATGCCAAGATTCTTCACTTTTCTTGAAAATTCAATTTCCGCGTCTTAGAATTAAGATCAGAGCCAGGATATTTGATAGCAGTAGACTACAATACTATAAGACCATCAGGGAGAACAAAATTGCTGGAATGATCCTGTGGTAGACAGTCAAGTACTATAGGAACCTAGCCGTAGACCACCTCATAGCTGACTAGCATCAATGCTGCTTACCCAGGAGAAAAGGGCCATGGTGAGCCATAGGGTCCTCAGTAGCTTCCTTCGATACTCTTTGTCTTTGAACTTTTGCCTCCAGCCGACCCATCGTGACTTTGCTTGGCTTTGCTTTGTGAGTTCATTCAACGCTTCGCTTTCTGTCCGGCGTTGGTCGGCCAGCTCCATCATTTCGTCTTCTTTTTCGGCTGCTCTGTTGTTTTCATGCTCCATGTCTGGTTTGAGTGAAAAAATTATTAGAAAGCAAAAAATTAAAGTGAAGTGAACATGTGAGACCGCACAATTGTACCTGCTCTAACAGCCACATGTGTTAAACAATCGTCCGTTCAAACGAAAATTTCCTACCCCCCCCCCACCTTTTCCAACACCACAAACACGCCTTTGCGCTGTCTTTATGGTAATTAAAAAAGAATGAAACGATTTAATGAAGCATTGTTTCAGTTCTCAAGCATCGTTATTGAATGAGTCAGTGGCCAGTGGCCATTTCAAATCTGTTGTAAAACACGTCGGGCATGTGTCGCGCGCAGACTCGCTTCGTGTTTATTTTCGACTGAAATTCTTCATAGATCATCAAAATCAGCAAGAAGTAAGTATTATTAAGTGCTTTACTATTAGATATTGATGCTAGCTTCAACACTTGACCTAAAAAATCCCAAGAAATGCACTTTATCCTACGTTAAATTTTCGAATCGAGAGGTAGGCCTAGTTTCGACTGTTTGTTTACATTTGTAGGCCTGTGTGCTTCTAGGCTATTATCTAAATCTAGATTGATAGTTCAGGAGTTGAGATGTAGAGGGATGTCCCTAGAAAGACCAAGAATTTAGATATAGATAATGATAATTTAATGTCTGATCTAGATCTAGATCTAGATTTAAAGCATGCACCTCAGAATCTATCTAGATATAAACCAAAGATCTATCTAAATATCTTTTCTGTAATTTCCGTAGACAGATGTGGAAGCAAAGGCTAGGTAAGGATAAAATAATATCTTACCGTTTGAGGAGATTGGAATTATGAAAGAAGGAAAACAGACCTAACAAGAGAGGAGACTGAAAAGAATACGTACAACTCTCACACAGGGTTCCAATAGGTCTTTAGAAAAGTCCTTAGGCTAAATTAAAATCCTAGTGCGACTGTGCTGACACGCAGACGGCGCCCGCAAGGCGAGCTGTAACAGGTCAGACCTACAGAACCACTCTGGGACCGGCCTCAGCCTGAGGTTGTTGTTTTTTTAAATTGCTTTTCCTTTATAAAATATTACGAAATAAAAATCGGTTCATTTTTAAAAAATCACCCAGTATAATTTAGACCCTCTTAGCATCATAAATGGGTCAAAGGTCAGCACAACAGAAAAAAAGTATCGACCAGCTGATGGCTTCCCAGAGCAGGCAGAGAAAACAAATGATAACTTACCTTGCAATAAAATTGTAATCTCCGAAGTGACAAAGAGAGTATCTGTAACAACACTGTGGGCAGATGGTTGTTCCTCTGGTCTGGTTTTCTCTTTCTATATTATGTTCTAGACACCAGCTGTCATCATCATTATCTGTTACATGGCAAGATGGGAATTCTGTCGAGATCCAATTCTCAGTAGTTGATCTAGTACTAGTAGACAACACACTGAACTCGAAATACACGGCCGAGATCTGCGTCTCTTCCCCCCCCCCCCCCCCACACGTTCGTTCGTTCCAATCTCAAAGGGGACGTAACCCTGACACCGATTCATTTCTTAGTTTAATATTTCTCTGGATAATAGGCCTAATATTACGTTTCACGGTGCGTCGATGAGGTCATAGAGTAGGGGAAACGGAACAGAGTGCACTTTCAATTTTTCTTCTTCTTCTTCTTCTTCTATCCCGTGGTTGGGGCAACCGTTGGGGCACCACTGCATTGGAAAACCAGCTCTCGCCATCTATTTTTGTCCTCTGCATCTTTCTCTTTCCTTGTACGGTTCCTTGCAGGATTGTTTTGGCAAGTCCTGTGGATCTTGTGACATGCCCATACCATTTTAGTTTTCGTCTCTTCACTGTGGTCAGTAGATCTTCATATTGCCCCATTGCGTTGGTGATTCTCTTTCGCACTTCAGCATTTGAAACGTGGTCTTTGTACGAGATGTCAAGGAGTCTGCGGTAACATCTCATCTCTGTGGTCTGAATCTTTTTTTCTAATTCTGCTGTTAGTGTTCACGACTCGCAGGCGTATAAAAATATTGAGATGGTCAGTGAGCACATTAGTCTAATTTTTGAGCTGTGCGTGATGTTTCTGTCCCTCCAAATAGGCTTCAGTTTTGACAGCGCAGCTGTTGTTTGCACGATTCTGGAGAGAATTTCTGGTCTTGAGCCTTCATCTGAGACGATAGATCCCAGGTATTTGAAGCTGTTGACGGTCTCAAGTTTCTCGCCCCTGACTTTGATGTCCGCATTGATGCCATTGGTGTTATTGGTCATTAGCTTGGTTTTCTCGGCACTGATGTCCATGCCGTAGGCTGCTGAGGTTGTGTCCAGCCGCTTCACTAGTGTGGCGAGCTCCTGTTCTTCTCTTGCTAATCCATCGATGTCATCGGGCCTTTTCTTTTTCTTCAGTGATGCAGAAGACCTGAGTTTGCGATTCCTGGCTGGAGAGAAATTTTACCGAGTATCTCGGTCTTTCTGATGGGACCTTGTATCCCAATCATCCAGGGTTCGCCTTGACAGGCAATGTCAAAGCCCGCCTTTAAAGGATCTAAATTGTTTCAATAGGACCGTAAGACACCTACATTCTTTCACATTCTCTCCCCCCCCCACCCCCCGGTAAACTTGTTATTAAAAATAAATAAATATAACAAATTAATAAATAAATAATAAAATAGTATTAAATAAAACAAAATGAGAGAAAATAACATACAATGAAAAGAAATAAAGTGAAATAAAATTAAATAAAATTTAGAAAAAATAAATAACAATGGAACAAAACAAAATGAAATTTAAAAAATATAAATTTTAAAAAATGAAGAAAAAAAATGAAATAAAATAAACCTGTAGTCATGTATCCCACATAGTCTTGACTGAACTTGGAAGGAAGGTTTGAGGCATCCTGTCTACTATATTGTGATCTAAATTGTGTTGAAGAGGCTTTTAAAGCATTTCTATAAATTCCACGGTACAATTCTGCCCGCCCCCCCCCCCCCGACCTCTATGGGTCACCCTCAAACACTAACATAGATGGAAACCAATTGTAATTCGCAAGCTAAAGATTAACATATTTATGTAGGACTCCGAGGCAAAACGCACTATATCCATTTACTGCAGTATTGAGAAAAACGAAGGAAAAAGACCCACAAAAGAATTATACTCTGAAAACAAGGTATACTTAACACCCAGTAGCGTTGTGTAGTGAAGGGCTTACGGGCTTGAGCCCCTCACCCCCGCCCCCTCTCCGCCCCTACTCTATCCCTTAGTTAATGGAAGTTTCTTAAATAACGAAATAAGCAGTTGAAACCGTCATGATCGCACGCAATGAACACACAGTTATCAGCTTGGCGGCTTGCCCGTTTATCCAATCATTGTTGTCACCGCTTACAACTATAGTAACCTAACAGCCAATCAAATGTCGTTAGGGCTCAGAAAGAATAAGCCGGTTCCCACGCCCGTCTTTAGTGAAACTCTTCTTGTAAAAAAGTAGAAGACTTTAAAAAAATAACACTGCTCAGAGGGCTCTCGTTCTCCCAGCCTTGACAATGGGGTGAACGTTTACGACACACTTTCCCCCAGTGACACAGATACCTATGCGCCCATTGGGCCTTTGTTAGGCGCGTTCTATTTTCCGCAACAACACGACCCAATCCATCTCACAGACGGTATGTGTTTGGAGTGCTGTGTGTTTGTGCTGCTTAGATTTAATAGTTATTAATTACATCAAACCACTTTGGAGGCAACTTTTTCTTCAGATAAAAACTAATTAGAGAAATCTGGAGGTGAAACGGCTTCGTCCCCGCCATCCAGAAGCTTAAATTTAACTAAGAACAAAGAGATGAAAGACAGAGGTGACTCTTCTCGTTTGAATGGTTCTCAAAATGCCGTGGCTCGCAGTGAGTATAGAAAAATCATCACTGTTTAGTTCTTATTGCTTGCTTTTTGGTGGTAAAGAACTTGAAGCAACCTAAGCCCCACCCAAATCTTGGTCCACCCACCGCCACTGTTTACACCAAGGGATACAGTGCATTTTGAGAAAAATCAGTATTCTTCTTATTATTATTAAAGAGTGGACGTAATTTCCCAAAACGCCTAGAATTTGGCGCGTAGTGCGTTTTGCAGTGGAACCCTTCATAAAAACCAGACAAACTGTTTTTCTTTTGTATAAAACTGGTTTGGGTTGTCGGGGTTTTTTGAGGGAGAGAGTGGTTGTGTGTGTGTTTTCTTTTTTACTTTTTGTTTTTGTATTTTTGGGGAGGGGGGGGGTGTAAGTATGACTTAGTTAGGCCTACGTGTAGATTCATTGTCAAGTTACATCTG